TTCCAGTAAAGCCAATCGACAGCTGGTCAAGAGGAATCCGCCGTCGTCTTCTGGTGGAATCGACCTTCGAGTCTCTTTACCCAACACTTTTACTCAAAATGGAAGTAAGCTCAACAATTATGAAACAAAAGAGTCCTCCAAACACAACTTTTCTTCGCATAAGAGGGCTTGACCAGCTAGGAAGAAAGCGCATGGCTATACAGCCTCAACTACTCGTATCTAGCGGGTAAACGGAGGCTAGGCGTTTAAGACATGGATTCAGGCTGCTGTGGAAACGTGCGGATTGCTACTGTCAAGCCTAAAATCGATTGGCCTAACGAGCTGTAGAAGATAGCCAGCTAGTAGTAGGCATGTTTGTAAGGCCCTTCTGGCGACGCTTGGAAAGTGATGTAATCTGGGGGTTACTTCATTTCTTGCGCTATACTTTGCAGATTGAAAGACGCCCTTTCTTGAGGAAATAGTGAAACTGCCCATGCTTCACAAAGCACGTTTACCCTCCTTTTGGCAAGAGTTGTGTCGATGAGACAATCTTTGCTACGACCAGAAATAGTCTCGGCGATTCTGACCGAGGCCAGATGATGCAATATCATCGAAAGGGTGACTTCTGCTTGTTACTCCTGAAGTGCATGCAAGTGTTGCTGACTTTGATGGGTCACGCCTTCACCCCCTTTGATCAGTGATATTGATGTGCCTGCGCATGTGTCCACCTGGGCCCATTTTGCCGACAAGCCAGAGAAAAGCATGGGCCCTAGCCGAAAGTGGACGGCAAGCTGTCGTTCTGGTATTCTCTCGCAGTGGGCGTCCCGGTCAAGAACAACTTTGTCCTGCCCGGGTGACGCAGATGTGTGCGCATGGCGACGGAAGCCAGGCTAGCACGAGCCCAATCGTTTGGGCGAACTGGCGTTTTAAGCATGCGCGGTTTAAAAAGACCTGACTCCACATGCAGGCGTAGCGAGATGGCTGTGAAGAGAGATCAGAGGGCAGCGAGAACTTTGAGACGCCCAAGTGGAGAAGACGCCCGGCGGAACGGCTACGCAGTCGGTCTGCTGCCAAAGCCGGGGTGGAGGCAGGGGGCGCTGGGTGGGCAAGCCAGAGTGGGAATAGCGCGCGTAGGCGTTCGGCTCATGTGCCTCTCGGCTGGCCTGGCTTCTGCGTTCGTGTGTGCGCGCATGTCTGCACGTGCATAGCATTGTCTGCCCGTATCGACGCCACTAAATGGCCTGCCTTTCTAAGGTCGCCCTTGAGGCTCGTGTAGGCCTAAAATCCGTTGCTCTTAGCCTGGCACACGTCTCTTGCTTCTTCCGAATGTTCACTTGCACGTCTGTCCGTATGTCCGTCTGTGTGAGGGTGTCTGCCCATTTTGTATATATATGCATTATGCTTGCCTGCCTTTTCGGGTGGGCACATAAGTAGAGAAATCCTCTGATGGAACCTATTTGTGTGCGT